GAATAAATTAGTATCGGTCTCAAAACATTATTTTGTCTATGAAACCAGCCAGAGCCCGCGGAGTTTTAAATTCATCCCTAGGGTGTGCCCAGGGTGGCTTTTCTCATCTTGGACCTCTGCCAGGCCCGACGCATCGAGCTTTCAAGTCCTCTAGAAGCCATTGACGGACATAATTTGTGGTGAAATTGATACAATAGGATCAGAAATGAATGTAGAATAAGTTGGTATCTGTCTCATACCCCTATTTTGTAAATGAAAAAAGTTAGAGCCCACCAAGTTTTAAATTCATCCCTAGGGTGTGCGCAGGGTGTGCCCAGCTGACTGCGGGTCCAAAGATGAAAATTTTGTAGGCGTATCCTGCGTAACTTAGTCAAAAGCGAATTGCAGAGGTAGTCTTTAATTTGAGCAAGCAGCGGCTCATCCGTTTTGCATTGGCAGCAAACCACTAATCATAGTTGTTTTTAATATCCAAGAGCATTTATTCAGAACACAAGCCTTTTTTTACAAACAGTTGAGGTAATCAAGGTCATTCAACGCATATTTGTTATTAACAGCTGGAAGTGTGCAAGGTTATTTTCTTTCGTTGTCAGTCAGGGTGAGTTGTTGGGTTTGTGCCTTGATTTAGCTTTTTTCATGGAAATTATGTATTATGTAGCAAACCTGTAAGTTCTGTCCATATGGCGCTGCTAGGTATATCTGGTAATCTGGCTGTTAATTGTTGAGCATGAGTTGAGCATTTTTCAAAGATGAAAGAATTCCAATTTACCTGGTTTTGGGGATGAAAATATTTTGCCCATTAGGTGTGATTTTCCTCCCAAAATTCCAAAAAATGGAACACTGGGCCGCTGCCGGCTGCGGTGTCGCGCGGTGCAGCTACGCTGGCCACGCCGCCGCCACCGGCTTGGTGGCAGACAGCTTGCAGGCGCAGCTGGCCGCCTGGAGTCAGCAGCCTGTGCTTGAGCTGGCCAAGCCATTCGGCATTCGCTGACATGAAGACCAGCCAGTGGCCGTATACATTCCTGCCGCGTGTCGTCCAGCTGGCGCTCAGCTCCGGCAACGCGGAGCTAAGACCTCCGCGTGCCAGCTTGCTGAAAGCCGTGACCGCGTTCACACTAGGTGAACCGCTTGCTACGCGGCGCTTTCACGAATAAGACATTTACGTGATAATAACCAGTTCGAGTAGTAAAGGTTTCACGTTAGAGTGATATCTAGAAGTCTAAATGTACTTACTCGAAAAGGTGAACGAAGGGGTGCAAATGGGTGAATTCCGGATAAAAAGGTCAAATTAGGTCACGCTGGGTCATTTCAGGTCACGAAGGTCACTTTAGGTCACCTCAGGTAACCCTGGGTCAGGTCAGGTCACAGAGGTCACCCAGGGTCACGATGGGTCAGGCCAAGTCACAGAGGTCACCTTAAGTCGCAATGGGTTGGATCACATTGGTCAGGGCTATCATGGGCCGATGACGTCATTCCTGCTCATCAGCTGCCTACAACATCGGCCTATGGCACAGCAGTACGGTGTCACCCCCCTGTGCAGGATGGCACATCAGCGCTAGCTGCCGGGCCTCTTTTGTTTCCAGTGCACAGCTGACCAGCCGTTTGCAGATCTGTGCTTCGTGAAAAAAGTGTTCAGCTTGAGCTCGGAACTGTTGATGGCACGCTATAATAAATGCGTTGCAGTCTTCTGTAGGGCGCAGGAGGCTACCTACGTCGGTAGTACTGATGGATGTATACGACTTTAAGGCCGTAAATATCTCTGAATCAGCCAGAGGCATGGCTTCCTCTTTGATCACTACTGCCCTGCACCTGTCGCAGCTGATGCGCGCAGTGCGAAGGAGGTAGCCACAGACGTAGGTTAATAGTTAATACGTTGCGGGTTTCCATTTCCACTGGGCAGTTCCCCGCTGCTCCGGACGGTGTGTTATATGGGGACGGGCGCGGTGGCGCTGTCACTGGCTGCTCGTTGGTTTCCATCGTCACCTGCCTCAAGACCGCGAGCAGCCTGTCTCCGTCGTCAGCGCAGTTTGAAGTTGCTGGTACCAACAGGTCATTCAGGGACGCGTGCTTATACAGATGTCGAAAGTGGATAGGATCTGGGTTGTCCGTCCCCCCACCTCGCTGCCACATGCCAAAAAAGTTTTTCAGCGCGTCTTGGTTCAGGTGGCGTGTGCACAAAAATGTGCATCCAGCGGCCTGACACAATTTCCATACTTCTTGAACCCCTCTGATCGTCTGTATCAGTCCACGCACGGAATCGATGCTGGCGCCGTCTCCGACCGTCCACCGCCGAAGCCAAGCTTCGCCGTCTACGAGAATTTTGATATGTTCTTCTGCTGTCACTGGGTGGATGTTCGAAATCCCACGACGCGTAGAACAGGCGTTGAACCGGGTAGAAGAGTTCAGGACATCTAGCAGGTTGTTGAGGCGCAGCAGGAAAGTAGCAGTCGGGAGTGATGATCGCGGGGGTTTGTTGAAGGTTGCATACATAGTAATCGCTGCTGATACTGTTCTGCTCATAACTTGTACGGCGTAGCGAACCTTCATTTTCTCGAAGCTGTTGGGTCTGATATGTCGTTCAGTTAGTTTCGGTGCAGCCCGTGGAAAAGAAGCGGAGTCAACCTCAAATAGTGCTTCCAGATATCTCCACGAAGATAGCTCACCGTCAACTTCAATGTCGTGTTTCATGAGGGCGTTTCGAAGACATTTGAAAAGGTGCGGCACGTCATACAAAGCGATAATATTTCGCCCATCTACCGTGAAGACGCCGCTATCGGCAGCTCCGTGCAGCCTGTAGGTGGACTGATTGTTCGTGCCCATGTCACACGTTGTTGCCAGCACCGTCAGTCCAGCCTCAGTCACACGACGGATGCACTGTACCAGCAGCTGCTGCTGCACGGTGGCCTTGGTGGTTCCAGCGCTCAGGAAGAATCCCAACGGCTGCTTCCAGCGTTTGGTGATGCCCCGCACCATCATAACCAGCGCATGGTCAGCACAGGCGTTCGAGCGGCCGAGGGGGCCGTGATCAGCGAAGCCCTCTATTATGTCGTCACTACGCTGGTAGGCGAGCCGAGCCTTCAGGTGAATTTCGTCGAAGGCAATGACGCACAGTTTGTCCTGGTCACTGCTGCCGGCGAACTTCTCCTTGATGAGGGCGAGGATGGCGTCGTGGAAGCCGGGTTGCATCTGGATCTTTTCCATTTTTCTGCGCAAAGTTCGGGGATGTGGGAGGACGTAGCGCTTTTGAAGAAACCGGTAGGACCTAGGACCTTGAAAATAGAGTGCAAGTGCACGGGTCTCTTCCTCTCCGGTGTACCGCCGCAAATCAGGTTTACCCGGACGTCGAGCCATGAGGTCAGGGAATGCTGGATGCGGGATTGCTCTCAGTAGTTCCTTGCTCTTCTCCTCCAGCATTTGCAGTTTTTTCTTTTGGCGGTAGAAGCGAACCTCCCATTTTGTGGCCAGCTTTCGTTGACTCCTGGCAATCGCATCTGTGGAAGAGAATACAAACTAGTCACGACGATTGTTATGTACAGTTAGTCGCGAATATACCCTAGGTCGCAACCCTTGTCAGAAGAACAATGCTGGTGCAAAGTTCAAATGATTATCACTATTGAATGAATCATCATGGGGCTATTTCAAATAACATATCTTAACCCGCGACCTGGTGGGGGGGGCTATTTTTGCCCCCCTCCAGACTTTTCGCTATATCTCCAGAACCGCTGCGCCGAACGTCACCAAACTTTCAGTACCCTCCCGGACATCAATTTTACACATTGTGACCAAAATTTTTTTCCAAAGGCTATGATAGGTTGGCCAGAAATGACGTCAGAGTGACGTCATGTTCTGCCGTTTTCGACCCAAAAAGGGGTTTCGCGGGAAGAGCTGTCAGGCCTCTAGCTTTGCAAATACAGAAAAACGATCAAGACACAAAAGCTGTACAATTGACAGGGCTACAAAACCGCTATCTCGGAGTTTTGAAATTTTTGGATTTTGACCCCCAAAAATCAAAAAAATATATTTTTTGAATAAAATAGCCGACAAATCCAAAAGTTTTTTGAAATTCGCAAAACCAGAACATATGTGATAGTGCTTACCGCCTTCTATCCACATACCAAATTTCAGATTGATACCTCTTTTTCTGGCGAAGTTATAGCGAAAAAAACTGTTCAAAATTGATGACGTCAAATTTTCAAACTCAATTTTTAGCGATTCTAGACCCTGTAGCGCAAAACAAAGACCACCATTAGACTCCCCGTGACGAGCTGCATCGAATCAATACCCATTTTATGCAAAACTCAACTTTAAAATTTGACCTTTTTTGGCCTGACCTTGACCTGACCTTGACCTGAACTTCACCAGAAAGTGACCTAAGCCGTACCTGATAGTCTTATAACCAACACCATTGAGTTGGAAATGAAAAATTGGCCATTAAACATGCATCACACAACCATAGTAAAGTTGGGCTCATGTGACCTGACCTGTGACCCTTGGTGACCTGACCTGTGACCTGACCTGGTATTGTCAGTGACCTCTAATAGCAACATATGTAGGGTGAAGTCGTATAAGAGTACGCACTTAGTGGATTTCTTGCTCTCATTTGTTTAATATTTGAAAGAAAGAAATCGCAAATAGGGAATATTAAAGTTCATTAAATTAGCCATCAACCCATGGGGCAACGATCCTTCAGCGTAAATGGAATTGGTCTAAAACTGTCATTTTCTGAACCGCTGCAGTTGCGTACTCTTACCATATGGGGTGTGTAAGAGTACGCACGCCAGGCGGGTGGAGTACGCAAGCATATGAACACACCCCTATGCAGCTTGTACTGTCCAAATGCTTAACTTCAAACTCAGAAGGCATTTAAGTTAATTCTAGTATCCAAAAAGAAAAGCTTAAAATAAATATTTCAAGTCTATAAATTAGGAAATAATCATGTCGTGTGTTTCTTTAAAAAATGCACAATCAAAAGGGAGAATAATTCGTATTTGGAAGTGTGCTGTTCTTGCATGTGTGGGATGGTTAATAGGTATCGCGCGCGCTGATGATGAGAAAAATGTGACCTGCTAGTGAAATGGGGTGAGACGGGGCTTTTTTGGGTCAACGGGCAAACGAAGGGTGTTTTTGGAGCAAATGGGATGAGTATTTGGTGTTATTGTGAATGGTTCAGGCGTGAATAAAGTATCATTTACCTTTTTATTACCACAAGCTATTTCGGCCTTTCCAATAAAGTAAAATGGGCAAGAAAAACAGACACGAGTAGTGTGGGTGTGAGCCTTGGTCAGAGCGATCTTCGACTCATTCCGGAATTTGATGGTACGACCCAGCCGGTCTCAGAATGGTTGGAGAAGCTGGAGATAGTGTGTGAGCTTCTGGGGATAACAGATTTGCACCGGATCGTCCCTCTGCGACTGAAAGATGGAGCCTTCGCTGTTTATCAGCAGCTCACAACAGAACAGAAAGGAAGCTTTGCAGAAATAAAGAACGCTTTGCGGTCCGCATTTGCACTTGATAAGTTTCAAGCATATGAACAATTTGTCGAACGCAAGAAGCAGAGTGGTGAGCCAGTAGATGTGTATTTGGCGGAGCTGCGACGGATGGCGAGTTTGTTCGGTGGTGTGTCAGACGAGGCCCTCGGGTGTGCGTTTGTGGCAGGCCTGCCACTGGCCACACGACAGGCGCTGCGGGTTGGAGCACGGATTGAGGATATGTCACTCATTGGACTTCTGCAGAGGGCCCGGGCGTTGCTGGTGGACGAAGAGTCGGGTTCAGCTGCGATCGCCTCCAGCTCTGGCGGCGAGGGGCGCACAGATAAGAACCCGACTGCTGACGTCAGCTCGGCTAGCATTATCTGTTACGCATGCGGTCAGGCAAACCACATGGCCAAAGACTGTCTGCATGAGCGTAGCGTTCGCACTCGAAGTTACCGCGGTCAGAACAGCCGGAGGTGTTTCAGATGCAACCGGCGCGGGCATCTAGCAGCAATGGGTAACCGGACAAAAAGTCAAAAGGAATAAAGTCAAAAGACAAATAGTCAAAAGACAAAAAGTCAAATGCAAAAAGTCAAACGGGATAAAAGTCAAAAAGATAAAAGTCAAAACGGATAAAAGTCAAAAGACAAAAAGTCAAAAGCAAAAAGTCAAAATGTGCAAAAGTCAAAAACGCAAAAAGTCAAATGACAAAAAGTCAAAAAATGCAAAAAGTCAAAAATGAAAAAGTCAAAAGGATAAAAGTCAAAACGGAAAAAAGTCAAAAGACAAAAAGTCAAAAGCAAAAAGTCAAAACGTGTAGAAGTCAAAAGACAAAAAGTCAAAAATGCAAAAAGTCAAAAGGATAAAAGTCAAAACGGAAAAAAGTCAAAACGGAATAAAGTCAAAAGACAAAAAGTCAAAAGCAAAAAGTCAAAACGGGTAAAAGTCAAAAGACAAAAAGTCAAAAAATGAAAAAAGTATAAAATAGAAAAGTCGAAGTCAAAGTCTGAAATAAAAAGTCAAAAGCATAAAAGTCGAAGCATCGATCTTTTCATCCTTTGAAAAATATTATACAGCGCAACGTACCCTACCCACTGAAGTTGTAAGGAACATGTGAGTACGCGAGGGATTCTGACAGGTACCGGGGTCCGCAGCAGCGGGGCAGGGACGCTGGCTGCGGTGGTGGGGCCCACGCTCACATAATACGCGTTGAGCGCTTCCGGCGTGCACGCTGGCGCAGCAGCAGTGGCACTCTTCCCCGCCCCGATCACCGGCCGCAGCACTGTCCCCATCCTCGCCGGTCCTGCCTCACGGAGCTGGTCAGCATAGTAGGTATGCCGCGTGGTCACGTCTGATGGCCGCTCGACACTGCCGGTTCACCACCGTATACTCGGCTCGCGGGCCGAGCAGTGCGCGCCGCCGCGCCAGCAGCGCTCGCGTGGCGTCCGTGGTGCGCGGAGCACCGGGCGGCGGCAGCCCCTCCCCCCATGGGAGAGGGTGAAAAGCAGTGCCTCCTCTAAGCAGTTTTGACTGGGGGGCCCGATCACGGGCAATGACTAAGGCAACCCCTACCAAAAACGTCTAAGACTAAAAAATGACTAAGGTACCCCTCAGTGATCAGTTTGGAGGATGACTGCGGGGGCTGCAGCTCCCGCAGTTAACATGTTAGAGGAGGCATGGGTGTCGTTTTGTATAGGCATGGTAGGGCCCGAGCCCTACCAATAATTTTGGAAATTTAACATTATGCCTATGGCGTTGCGTGGAAAGAATCGCTTTGAATTGGCAAAAATTTACATTAGAGCCCTACCAATAATTTTCGGAAAGTGTCGCGCCTGAGAGGAGGCCCTGGTGAAACCCAAAACCTCAAAATAAAAAAATACCATGTGATTAACGCTTAAATGACGTCAATGGACTTAAAGTAAAAAATACAAAAGACGAGATAATTTCAAAATTTTGAGTTGCAATTTTTGTCCCCTCAACTTTCAACCTACCCCATCAACTTTTCAAACGTTCCCGGGTCACCACTGCCCCATCGTGCAATTCCAGTGCTATGGCAAAGTTTTATCAGAAAGTTTAAACGTGCCCAATAGACTGGACGCGGTCCCCTCCGTCCACTCACGCTCTCTGGTCTCTGTACGGTCATCGCTGACTGGTCCAGCATCCAACGCGCTGGGTTTATAGAAATTTGGTTAAAAGAAACTAACATAATTTAATGAACGAATCAATTAAGTAATAAAATGAAAATGATTCACAGGTTATTATTACATGTGGGAGCACTGGCACTGGAACTTTCTCAATGTTGGCGGGGCTCGAGGCTGTTTGAACTCATTTCTTTCCATGCAACGCCATAGGGTTAATTACGAGCGAGCGAGCGCAGCGAGCGAGCGAGTTCTTTCGTGTTTAAGGCAAAAATCTGAGTATGCGCGACCCGGCCCGGCACGACCCGACCCGACACGACCCCATCACGCTCTTCAAACCCTTATAATTCAAGAACCGCATGCCGCATCGACAAGCGGTCTTCTTTGCTGAATACCACTTGGATGTAAAAGTTGTATGGCATGGACACCATGTTGTCTGGTGGTGATTTACACCATGTTGTCTGATTTGACTTTTTGTCTTATGGTTTTTTATATATATATGGCTTTTTACTTTTGGCTTTTTCTTATTTGACTTTTCCATTTGATTTTTATCATTTTGACTTTTTTTGCCGTTTTTTCACTTTTTGTCTTTGGACTTTTTGCCATTTGACTTTTTGCTTTTGACTTTTTGCGTTTTTGACTTTTCGCCATTTTGACTTTTTGCCATTTGACTTTTTTGCTTTTGACTTTTTTCGTTTTTGACTTTTCGCCATTTTGACTTTCTGCCATTTGACTTTTTGCTTTTGACTTTTTGCGTTTTTTACTTTTTGCCATTTTGACTTTTCGCCATTTGACTTTTTGCTTTTGACTTTTTGCGTTTTTGACTTTTCGCCATTTTGACTTTTTGCCATTTGACTTTTTGCATTTTTGACTTTTGGACGTTTTGACTTTTTGCCATTTGACTTTTTGTCTTTTGACTTTTATCCGTTTTGACTTTTATCCATTTGACTTTTTTCCATTTGACTTTTATCCATTTTGACTTTTTGCATTTGACTTTTTGTCTTTTGACATTTTGTCTTTTGACTTTTTGTCCTGGAATCGCAGCAATGTGCCCGGGAAACGGAAGCGGAGAGGCGAATTCAGCGCCAGCCTCCTCTCCAGACCGTCGGTAAATTCGGCGCTTCCAGTCGTCCAGCTGAAAGTGAGCGGTGTGCAGTGTGAAGCGTTAGTGGACACTGGATGCACGAAAAGTATCGCCCATGTCTCAGTTTGTCGGCAGTGGGCCAAAGGCAGGGTGGGTGTTACGACTGTGAGTGGTCAGCGACATTGGTGTGAAGGCACGGGGCTGGTGGACGTAACGCTGCAGTCGGGTCACACTGTGGCTGTGGAAGTCTTGGTTGTAGCCCAGAAGCCTCTCGGTTTTGCTTTCATTCTCGGAATGAATGGAGTGGAAGCCATGGATGGCGTTACCGTGCACAACCGCCACAAGGTCCACTTTGGTATCGAGTCGACAGAACAGTCTGCACAAGCGACTTGTGCAGCTTCAGCGGTGAGCACCGAAGAAGCTGACTTCACAGTGACATACGAACCAGCGAAAAGGAAGTGGTCAGTTTCATGGAAGTGGAGCGGCGGAAAGCAGCCTGAACAGCTGAGTAACACGGCCGAGGAATACCGCATTCCATCCGAAGCCCGTCAGGAGTACGAACAGGCTTTGCAGAGATGGGCAGATGAGGGATGGCTCATTCCCTATAGCGAGAAGGTTCACGGTGAGGTGAAGGGCACGATTCCTCTCATGGCCGTGATACAGCGGGAGAAGCGGAAAGTGCGGCCCGTGATGGATTTCAGAGAAATCGGCTACTTAGATCCACACACCGCTGACGCAGACGTGTGTGGAGAGAAGATCCGAGAGTGGCGCAGATGCGGAAAAGACGTGGCTCTGCTCGATTTGCGAGATGCGTACCTGCAGGTGCACGTGCACCAGTCTTTATGGCCGTACCAAACCGTTGTCTGGCAGGGCCGAAGGTGGTGTTTGACCAGACTCGGTTTCGGCATGAGCGTGTCTCCGCTGATCATGAAGAAGGTGCTGAGCATGGCTCTGAGCTGGGATAAGAAAATTGACAGTGCGACCAATCCATACGTGGATGACATCTTGGTCAGAGAGGATATCGTGAGTGCTAGTGTGGTGAAGACTCACCTGGAGCGGCACGGTCTAGTATGCAAGCCTGCTGAACGTATCGCGGACGGAGCCCGCGTGCTGGGACTCAAGGTCTGGGGGAGCGTCAGGGCCTGCTCTGGCGTAGAGAGGCGAGTGACATCGAGCTGCCACCAAAACTGACGAGGCGAGTCGTCTTTTCCATCTGCGGTCGGTTGACTAGCCACTTCCCCGTCTGCGGCTGGCTACGTGTGGCGGCATCGTACCTGAAGAGACGCGCTAATGCCGTAACGACCAGTTGGGACGCTGAGATCACTGATCCTGAGCTGTGTGCCATGGTTTCAGAGACTCTGAAGCGCGTCAGGGCGTCGGATCCAGCCCAGGGGAGATGGGACGTCACCGGCTCCGAGGCAGTCGTGTGGGTCGATGCGAGTTCAATCGCTCTAGGAGCTGTTCTGGAGGTCGGAGGAGATGTTATAGAAGATGCTTCCTGGCTCCGTAAAAGCACTGATTCACACATCAACCTGGCTGAGCTTGACGCGGTCGTGCGAGGCGTGAACCTGGCCGTCGCTTGGAAGATGAAACAGCTCACTATTGTCACTGACTCAAGGACGGTGTATCATTGGCTCAGCGATGCTCTGTCTGGAAAGGCGCGTTTGAAAACGAAAGCGGCAAGCGAGCTGCTCATCCGACGGCGCCTTGAAACGATAAAAAACATCATCACCGAGTACGATCTCACCGTACAGGTGAAGAGTGTTCCATCGGTTGAAAACAAGGCCGACATCTTGACTCGTGTTCCAAGGAAATGGCTGCTGACTTCAGACAACGACCAGGAAGTGTGTGCAGGCGCGATGGTGGAGACAGATATAGCGGCTGTGCACGAGACCAGCGGACACCCGGGTATCAGACGGACGCTCCACCTCTGCAGACGACTGGATCCATCCGTAACACGGAAGCAGGTGCAGCAGGTGGTGCGACAGTGTCCGGCCTGCCAGTCCATCGATCCAGCTCCACAGCGATGGCAGCATGGTACGCTGAGTGTGGAGAGGAATTGGGACAGAGTCAGTATGGATATCTGTCATGTTGGTGGTGAGCACTATCTGACGCTAGTGGACTGCGGTCCATCCAGATACGCCATTTGGAGGCATCTCAGGCGGCAAGACACGGACAGCGTTATTGCTCAATTGGAGGCGGTGTTTTTGGAGAGGTGTGCACCGCGAGAGCTCCTTACGGACAACTATACCTCTTTCCGAAGCGTGACGTTTCTGGAATTCACCAGTAGATGGGGAGTGACCGTGCGTTACCGAGCAGCGCATGTTCCGTCAGGAAACGGCATATCTGAGAGAAACCACCGATCTATAAAAACGATTGTGGCACGAAAAGGCTGCACGGTGGCTGAGGCTGTATACAGGTACAACGTGATGCCGCGCAGTGATGTTCCTGGCTCCAGCCCGTCAGATGAGCTCTTTAACTACTCATGCAGAGTCAACGATGTTGACCCTTCCGAGGACCATGAGTCTGAAGAGCAGCACCGCTTTAGTGTGGGAGACCAGGTATGGGTGCGGGACCCAAGTCGGCGCTGTGACGTACCGAGTTCTCTCGGTACAGTGAGTCGGATCGTGTCGAGTCAAAATGTCGAAGTTGATGGGGTTTCCCGTCATGTCAGAGATCTTCGTTTGGCGCTTTTGCCACGCTCAGGTGTCGCGCTTCCGCGAGGGTCAGGCTCTGAAGGTGGCGAGCATGATGTTCCGGCTTCTGCTGGAGACGAGTTCGATGAGGTGCACCATGACACTGCTCCCCGCAGGGGGACCAGAGTGAGGGCCCCTGCAACCCTAACACAATATGGTGATCTATAGGATCAGGGGGGAGTGTGCTGTTCTTGCATGTGTGGGATGGTTAATAGGTATCGCGCGCGCTGATGATGAGAAAAATGTGACCTGCTAGTGAAATGGGGTGAGACGGGGCTTTTTTGGGTCAACGGGCAAACGAAGGGTGTTTTTGGAGCAAATGGGATGAGTATTTGGTGTTATTGTGAATGGTTCAGGCGTGAATAAAGTATCATTTACCTTTTTATTACCACAGGAAGAATTTCGGGTACGCATCTGCATCACAATGCTCCATTGATTACGGAGCGAGCGAAGCGAGCGGAGTCTTACGTAGAATAACGGAAATTTCTGACTATGAGCGGCCGGCCGTGGTCACGATTCTGCGACGCTTAGTTGTATTTTTGTATTTTGTATTAGCGAAGCATTCCAATGATGGATTAGTGTCAGCTTCTAGTCAATGACAATAGTAAAAACATATAAAACACAAACACACACACGCATACACATTGTACTAAAATACCAAAACGCTAGTCACATGTCGAGTTTAAAAGTCGTAAAAACTCCGCTCTAGTTCGAGAGCCGGTGGTGGCAGGCGGCAGGCGATTCTAGGACGAGGCCGCTCGGTACGACAAGGCCCGGCGCGACATAGACAGCCGGTAAGCCGGCAGCTCCAGTACACCGGCACACGTTGCCCGCGTTGAGCGCTGCGACACAGCGGCTCGCCGAGTGAATAGGGAGCGGATCGCCTCCGGAGCGCAAGGGTCACTCGGCGCCCTGAACACAGTGGAGCAGTCACGGTGGACGACAAGATCAGCAATGTCATGCCAGCCGAGGGCTCTCAACACCGGTGAAATATGTTCAGAAACCCGCGCTCCGGAGACGACCCTAGCACTAAAATTCAGGATCTTCTGCACCTTATGTAAATGACGGCGAGCGGCCCCGCCCCAGACGGAGAGGCAGTAAAGGATGTGGGGGAAAACATGGCACTGGATAAGGAGCTTACGGGTCTCGGGGGTAAGATGATGACGAATTTTGTACAAACATAGAAGGATGGAATTGCACTTTTTGACAACATTTGAAATGTGCTTTTCCCAGGATAGGGTTGAGTCGACCGTCACTCCCAGCATCTTCACAAAAGGGGATGGTTGTAGTGTGTGACCGGATATGGTAAGGGAAAAGGATGAGGTTTTCTTGAGGTTCTGGCCAGTACCCACAAGAAGCAGGGTGGTCTTACTAGGATTCATTTTCAAGGAATTGGATGTGTAATAGGACTGGACAGCGAGCAAGGTGTCTTCCTGTTGTTTTTTAAGGACAGGTAAGTCAGTGGGAAGAGCGGAATCGAGGAGTTGGGTATCGTCTGCATAGGAAATGAGCCGTCCATGAGGAAGGTAGGAAGGTAGGTCATTTGTGAAGATGCTGAAGAGGATTGGGCCGACCAGGGGGCCCTGCGGAACGCCATGGGACATAGGAAGGGATAGGGAGCCGCCTCTCACCACCTGCCGCCGGCCACCGAGGTAACTCGCGAACCACCCGGGGTCAACACCGTACCAGCTCAACTTGGACAATAAAATACCATGGTCAACACTATCAAAGGCGCGACTGAGGTCCACCGACGTGATGGCAACAATGTGACCCTTGTCGACGCGGCGCGTCACCCACTCGACAGCGTCGGTGAGAGCATCCTCCGTTGAGTGATATCGGCGGTACGCATACTGAGATGGTGATAAAATAGAGGACGTATCAAGATAAGAAGCGAGCTGATTGCAAACCACCTTTTCACATACTTTCGATAACACTGGTAGAATTGATATAGGTCTAAAATTAACAGCGCTGTCACGGGAACCAGACTTATGAAGCGGCACGACAGAAGCAAGCTTCCAAGATGAGGGAAACGTACGTAAAGAAAATGAGGCATTGACTAGATGGAGAATGTGGGGTCCAATCACAGGAAAACACCGGCGAATAGCAAATAGCTTATATCTCAGCAACCACTTGACCGATTTACATGCGGTAATTTTTGTAGGGTAGCTTCATTCCTTCCAGGGGCGGATCCAGGGGGGGCCGCTGGGGGCCGATGCCCCTAGCCTATCGAAAAATGCCGCCCCTCCGCCGCCGAAGGCGGCGGAGGGCGGCTTTTTTCGATACCTGATGAAGTGCATTTTACGGAAATGACCATTTCTTTGAAGTTCATCTCATAATAATCTCTGATAGTAACTATCTGAATTTATATTTAACCCTCAGAGTATGTCGCTTCTCTTCCTGAAGTCAGAGTGCCGCCCCTTAACCCGCGCCCTGCTGGGGGGGGGTGTTTGAACACCCCCCCCCCTTGTGGTTTTTCGCGAATATCTCAAAAACGGCGGCGCGGAGCGCCGCCGTTTTTGGTACACCTTATCATACATCAATTTTACACATGTTGTGAAAATTTCAGACCAAGGTCATTCAAGGTCAGGTCACCAGGTCACTCGAAGTGACCTCACCTCATAAAAAGTTTCAATGTCTGTCATAGCTACACCGAGTGACCGATTACTTTGAAACTTTCAGCGATTGCTAAGAGCAATAGCATGTACAAAATGTTTATCTCAGAATTTTGATATCGATGACCTAAGGTCAGGTCAATTTTGCGACCTCCCCATTATAAGTCAATGGGAGAAAATTGAAATGCGCCTCTTTTGGACGAAAGACATTATAAACACTCCCAAACACTGAATTACAAGTGGTTTAGACACACTGAACATGAAAATGGTGTCCGTGACCCCTGTTTATGCCCTGAGGTCATCTTAGGTCACGAATGGTATCTAACAGTTTTTCGCAAATAACTTTTGATAGAGGCATGCTAGAGCGATGAAAAAGCCTTAGATGTGTTCAGCTCGACGATACGGATCGACTGATATGCAACATGACCCTTTCCGGTCAGGTCATGACCTTGACCTGAGGTCAAATTTTCAAATTGACCTTTCAAGGTCAAGTTATAGTTCATTCGATGCGTCTTGACGAGAGGAACACGATGCCGGTAAAAGTAAGCTCTTACAAGCCTTGGGTCGAAAGTTATTGCAGAAAAACTGTTTCCGAAAAAATCGGCTATTTTTGCAGTTTTTGCCCCCTGCAGGCAAAACCGTTGACGTTAGGTCAAATCTGAGAAAATTACTCAGAAAGGGCGCTAATAGGGCTATCGAATGCGCTTTTTCGCGGCGCTGTAGCTCTATTGGTTCCCGAGTTATGCGTTGGCTTCTTGGAAATTGTCGACATTCGACCTGAAAATCGGCGAAATTTTGCCTTCAATGACCTCTGGTGACCTGACCTTTGACCTGACCAAAAAATTGACTGAAGTGATTTCCTCATTATTTTTGACGCTCTTTCGAACGCCGCCTTCCGCGTATCGCTACGTGGCCCAGGAGCCGAGTTAGAAGGGGGGTGTTCAAACACCCCCCCCCCCAGCAGGGCGTGGAAATCCAGGACCCCCAGCCGGGCGCGGGTTAACCCGCGCCCTGCTGGGGGGGGGGGGTGTTTGAACACCCCCCCTTGCGGTTTTTCGCGAATATCTCAAAAACGGCGGCGCGGCCGCCGTTTTTGGTACACCTTATCATACATCAATTCTACACATGTTGTGAAAATTTCAGACCAAGGTCATTCAAGGTCAGGTCACCAGGTCACTTGAAGTGACCTCACCTCATAAAAAGTTTCAATGTCTGTCATAGCTACACCGAGTGACCGATCGCTTTGAAACTTTCAGCGGTTGCTAAGAGCAATAGCATGTACAAAATGTATATCTCAGAATTTTGATATCGATGACCTAAGGTCAGGTCAATTTTGCGACCTCCCCATTAATAAGTCAATGGGAGAAAATTGAAATGCGCCTCCTTTGGACGAGACATTATAAACACTCCCAAACACTGAATTACAAGTGGTTTAGACACACTGAACATGAAAATGGTGTCCGTGACCCCTGTTTATGCCCTGAGGTCATCTTAGGTCACGAATGGTATCTAACAGTTTTTCGCAAATAACTTTTGATAGAGGCATGCTAGAGCGATGAAAACGCCTTAGATGTGTTCAGCTCGACGATACGGATCGACTAATATGCAACATGACCCTTTCCGGTCAGGTCATGACCTTGACCTGAGGTCAAATTTTCAAGTTGACCTTTCAAGGTCAAATTATAGTTCATTCGATGCGTCTTGACGAGAGGAACACGATGCCGGTAATAGTAAGCTCGTACAGGGCCTGGGTCAAAAGTTATTGCAGAAAAACTGTTTCCGAAAAAAATCGGTTATTTTTGCAGTTTTTGCCCCCTGCAGGTAAAACCGTTGACGTTAGGTCAAATCTGAGAGAATTACTCAGAAAGGGCGTTAATAGGGCTATCGAATGCGCTTTTTTCGCGGCGCTGTAGCTCTATTGGTTCCCGAGTTATGCGTTGGCTTCTTGGAAATTGTCGACATTCGACCTGGAAATCGGCGAAATTTTGCATTCAATGACCTCTGGTGACCTGACCTTTGACCTGACCAAAAAATTGACCGAAGTGATTTCCTCATTATTTTTGACGCTCTTTCGAACGCCGCCTTCCGCGTATCGCTACGTGGCCCAGGAGCTGAGTTAGAAGGGGGGGGTGTTCAAACACCCCCCCCCCAGCAGGGCGTGGAAATCCAGGACCCCCAGCCGGGCGCTGGTTAATTCGAAGTACCGCTGCTTTAAAGTCATATTGCTACCCGTCCCTTTGAAGTAGTAGTGCCGCTCTCGGAAGTCGAAATGCCGCCCTCGGAAGTCGTAGTGCCGCCCTCTGTACTCGTAGTGCCGCCCTCTGTACTCGTAGTGCCGGCCTCCGCAGTCTTCGTCAAGCTCCTTGAAGCTCCTTGAAGTTATTGCGCCGCCCTCTGAAGTCATAGTGCCGCCCTCTGAAGCACAGTGCCGCCCTCTGAAGCATAGTGCCGCCCTCTGAAGTCATAGTGCAGCCCTCTGAAGTCATGGTTCCGCCCTCCGCAGTCTTCGTAAAGCTCCTTGAAGTCATTGCGACGCCCTCTGAAGTCATAGCGCCGCCCTCTGAAGTCATAGTGCCGCCCTCTGAAGTCATAGCGCCGCCCTCCAGTCTTCGTGAAGGTCCTTGAAGTCATTGTGCCGCCCTCTGAAGTCAAAACGCCGCCCTCTGAAGTCATAGTGCCGCCCTCTGAAGTCATAGTGCCGCCTCTGAAGTTAGGTATAGTGCCGCCTCTGAAGTCATAGTGCCGCCCTC